CTTTTAATGAATGAGCTCAATGAATGAGCTCATAGAGGGACACTATGAAGGCAGTGCTAAGAGGAAAGTTCACTGCATTGAGCTCATTCATTAAAAGAAGAAAAAGTCAACAAATAAATGACCTAACATTATATGTTAAAGCCCTAGAAAAAGAAGAACAACCAACACCAAAACTACTAGAAGACATGAAATAATTAAAACCAGGGTGGAAATCAATGAAATTGAAACAAAAAAAATTCAAAAATTTGACAAAACAAAAAGCTGGTTTTATGAATAAATAAATAAAATTGACAAACCCTTAGCTACCCTAACAAAAAGAAGGCAACAGAAAATTCAAATTACTAAAATTCGTGATGAAAAAGGAAATATCACAACAGACACTACTGGAATACAGAAGACAATTAGAAGCTATTTTAAAAACTTATACTCTAGTAAAATAGAAAACCTCGAAGACACCGACAACTTTCTAGAGGCATATGATCAACCTGAACTGAGTCAAGAGGACATACACAATTTAAACAGGTAAATTTCAAGCAAGGAAATAGAAGATTACCAACCAAGAAAAGTCCTGGACAGAGGGATTCACAGCTGAGTTCTACAAGACCTATAAAGAAAAATTAATAACAATTCTCCTCAAATTATTCCATGAAATAGAAAAGGAGGGAATGCTTCCAAACTCATTCTATGAGGCTAGTAATCATCCTGATACCAAAACCAAGCAGAGACAATCAAAGAAAGAAAATTTCAGGCTAATATCCCTGATGAACATAGATGAAAAAATTCTCAATAAAATTCTGGAAAATTGCATGCAAAAATGTATTTAAAAATAGTGTACTATGATCAATTGGGGTTCTAGGTTGGTTCAACATATGGAAATCAATAAATGTAATTCATCACATCAATAGACTTAAAGTTAAGAATCATATGATTATATCAATTAATGCAGAGAAAGCATTTGACAAAATACAGCACCCTTTCATGTTCAAAACACTAAAAAACTAGGAATAGTAGAAATATACCTCAACATTGTAAAAACTATATATGCTAAACCCAAGGTCAATATCATTCTAAATGGAGAAAAATTGGAAATATCTCTCTAAAAATTGGAAACAAGACAGGGATGCCCTCTTTTACCACTTCTATTCAACATAGTACTTGAAATTCTAGCCAGAGCAATTAGACAGAAAAAAGATACAAAAGGAATACGAATAAGAAAAGAAGAACTCAAACTATCATTATTTGCTGGACATGATTGTATTCTTAGAGGATCCAAAAAACTCTACCAGAAAACTTTTAGAATTGATATAAAATCAATACACATAAACCAAAGGCATTTTTATACATCAGTGATGAATCCTCTGAAAGAGAAATTAGGAAAACTACCCCCCCCCAAAAAAAAAAAACTTGGGAAGCAATTTAACAAAAGGGCTGAAAGATCTCTATAATGAAGAAGATCTTAGAAGATAGAAAGATTTCCCAAGCTCTTAGATAGGCAAAATTAATATTGTCAAAATGGCCATACTACCCAAAGCGCTATACAGATTCAATGTGATTCCAATTAAAATCCCAATGTCATTCCTTATAGAAATAGGAAAAGCAATCATGAAATTTATTTGGCAAAAAAAGAGACCTAGAATAGCTAAAGCAATCCTTAGCAAGAAGAGTGAAGCAGGAAGCATCACAATACCAGACTTCAAACTATACTACAAAGCTATAGTAACAAAACCAGCATGGTATTGACACCAAACAAACAAAGACCAATGGTACAGAATAGAAGACACAGAGACAAACCCACACAAATACAGTTATCTCATACTAGACAAAGGTGCAAAAACCATTTATTGGAGAAAAGATAGCCTCTTCAACAAATGGTGCTGGGAAAACTGAAAATCCATGTGCAACAAATGAAATTAAACCCCTATCTCTCACCATGTACAAAACTCAAATCAAAGTGGATCAAGGACCTAGGAATTAGACCAGAGACCCTGTGTCTAGTAGAGGAAAAAGTAGGCCCAAATTTTCATCACGTTAGATTAGGCCCCAAATTCCTTAACAAGATTCTTAAAGCTCAAGAAATAAAATCAAGAATCAATAAATGGGATGGATTCAAACTAAAGAAAGGTTTTTCTCAGCAAAAGAAGCAATCAATGAGGTGAAGAAAGAGCCTACATTTTGGGAGCAACTTTTTGCCACACGCAAGTCAGATATAGCACTGATCTCCAAGATATATAAAGACCTCAAAAACTTAACACCAAAAAAAAAAAAAACAAAAAACAACCCAATCAATAAATGGGCTAAGGAGCTGAATAGACACTTTTCAGAAGAAGAAGTACAATCAATCAACAAATATGTGAAAAAATGTTCAACATCTCTAACAATTAAAGAAATGCAAATCAAAACTAAGATTTCATCTCACTCCAGTAAGAATGGCAGCTATTAAGAATACAAATGACAATAAGTGTTGACAAGGATGTGTGGGAAAAGGTATACTCATACATTGCTGGTGGGACTGCAAACTGGTGCAACCAACCTGGAAAGCAGTATGGAGATTCCTTGGAAAACTTGGAATGGAACCACCATTTGACCCAGCTATCCCACTCCTCAGTCTATATCCATAGGACTTAAAAATCAGCATACTACAGTAATGCAGCCACATCAATGTTTACAGCAGCATACTTCACAATAGCTAAACTGTGGAACCAACCTAGATGCCCTTCAGTAGATGAATGGATAAAAAAACTGCGGTGTGTGTGTGTGTGTGTGTGTGTGTGTGTGTGTATAGATATAGATATAATGGAATGTTACTCGGCATTAAAAGAGAATAAAATTATGGCATTTGCAGGTAAATGGATGGAGTTGGAGAATATCATGCAAAGCAAAGTAAGCCAATCCCAAAAAACTAAAGGCCAAATAGTCTCTCTGATAAGTAGATGCTGGTCTATAATGGCGGGGGGTGGGGGCATGGGGAAAATGGAGGAACTGTGATTGGGCAAAGGACAGGAGGGAAAGAGAGGGAGCATGGGCGCAGGAAAGATGGTGGAATGAGATGGAAATCATTACCCTAGGTACATATATGACTGCACATACAGTGCAACACTACATTGTGTACAACCAGAGAAATGAAAAGTTGTATGGAAATTGTGTACAATTAAAATATGTGTGTGTGTGTGTATATATATATATATATATATATATATGCAGCTGAGCATGGTGGAACATGCCTGTAACCCCAGTGGCCCGGGAGGCTGAGGCAGGAGGATTGCATGTTCAAAGCCAGACTCAGCAAAAGCGAGGTGTTAAGCAACTCAGTGAGACCCTGTCTCTAAATAAAATACAAAATAGGTTGGAAATGTGGCTCAGTGGCCAAATGCCCCTGAGTTCAATCCCTGGTACCTGCCCCTGCAAAAAAAAAGTGAATGAGCACAAACACCTCTCTTGAATGGAAAGAACTTTTCTTTTTGTTCCAGAGGACTGACACACCATTTATTTGCTGAATGCCTACTCGGTACAAGACACTTTAGTATTTATCAGGACACAAAACAAAATTCTTTCCTTCATGGAGCTTAATCCAGAAGGGAAAAATAAAAATGAAAACATAAGTCAATTGGCTAATGTGTTTAAAATTTTTTTTAAAAAGCCAATTGCCTAATTTATCAATAGATTAAGTACTAAGAGAAAAGACTAAATAGAGCAGTATAAGAGGGACTGAAAGGAGTGTAGTGGTTCCAAAAATATGTCCATAATTTTTTGATATTCTCTTCAAGAGGAGGAGCTTAATTATTTCCTTGAGTGGAGGCCAAACTTAGTGACTCACTTCTAACAAACAGAATATGGCAAAAGCAATATTATATCACTTCCAAGATTAGGTTACAAAAAGACTGTTTTTCTTTTTTGGTACATTCTCTCTCCCTCTGGGATCACTTGCTCTGAACTAACTGGCAGGCTGTCAGCAGTCCTATGGAGAAGTTCCTGTGACAAGTAACTAAAGCCTCCAGATGATAATCAGCAAGGAATACAGGCCTTCCCACAACAATGTGAGTAAACCTGAAAGTAATTTTCCTGCTTTTAGTTCAGCCTTGAGATGGCTATAAACCTGTGAAAGATCCTAAACTAGAACTACTCAGCTAAACTGCTCCTAGATTCCTGATGCTCAGAAACTATGTGAGATAATATCTGCTTGTTGTTTTAAGCTATTAAATATCAGGGTGACTGTTAACTAGCAATAGATAAGTAATATAGTAAGGGCATGAAGGGGTAAGTTTCAGTATTAAGTAGATGGCCCAGACCTCATTGAGAAGGTGACATGTGAACTAAGACCTAAGGAAGGTGAGGAAGGCATTTCTGAGAAACACCAAGGAGGCCAGTGTGACTGCAGCTGAGTACTGGAAGTAGTGGTTGGAGAATGAGGTTGCGTAGTAGGATGGTCAGTGATATAGAAACTTAAAAGACACAGGCTTTTATTCCAGATTAAAGAGAATCTGCATGTTTTGAGCAGAAAAAAATACTGTGATATTCCAAAAATATTTGCACTGGAGTATAAAGAATATGCTATATATTTAAATTATTTTTATATAATTTTTTTATCACACATCAAATTCTTTTATAGTTCAATTTAACAGTGTAATGGATAAGAGGGCAAAATATAGCTAGAAGAATGGATATAAATAATTCTGATCATATTTACTAAAATGGATACAACCAAATTTAATTTATATCACATCACATAACTCAGTCAAAGAATTGTGAAAGAAAAAAGCATAAGTTTATAAAAGGTTCCTTAATTGTTTACAATATATAACCTGGGGGAAAATATTATCTTTCTTTTTTCTTTTAGAGTCCTTTCTTTATGTGCACATGAAACAAGTCAGGGTGGTTTATTAAAATGGAGTCAAGGCATGACTTATAGATTTTCTCAATATTTATGAGGAAAATACATTTATTTAATTTTATAACTCTCTATCAACACAATAAACATCTATAACAGGGAAGCTTAATCTTACCTGATATAAGAAATCTTTGATGTTTAGGAACATGTCTTTCAAGGAGACGCTTCATACAAGAATCTTTGGCTTCTTCTAAAGCACACTTTCCATTGGTACCTCTAAATAATGGATCAGCTCCATTTAAAAGAAGTAACTCTGCCACCTAGAAGAAGATTGTTCATGTGAGAAAGCCCAGACAAAGGATATATTATTGTAAATGTGTGCTAGCATACAACCCTAAGCAACACCAAATGTTTCTCTCAACAGCAGAGTATGGGAGTATCTATCAGATCTTTGCCCAAGAAAAACAAAAAATATAATGCAGTTTCTACAGAATCATAATTTGCTGATATACACATTCATTTTCTCACCAAAGAAGACTGAAAGACAGAAAAAAAGGAGGGAGGCACGAGTGAGGGAGGGGGAAAGAGGGAAATGAGAAAAGTAGGGAGGACTGAGAGTGAGGAAGGAAGGAAGTTGGGGCAGAAATATTGTGATTCAACTGCTGGTGAAATGAAGCTAGCAAATACACAAAGACTTAGAATTGGGTTCTACAGTGGCAATATAATTTTAAGAGGTTCCAAGAGACAGTCATGTCTTTCTTCTATACCTGTGTATACTTACAGATGGCACTGTCTGTGAGGTAGAAACAGGCCAATTCTTACTCTGTAACCAGTTTTGTAGTAACCTACTCAATGCACCTCTCCCTGTCTACCCCTACCCATTACTGCTCATGTACATATTTTATCACAGTGCCCAATATATTCTGTATTATACTTATTTCATATATGTGTATGTTTCCTATTGTACTCAAGTTTCTTGAGGGTGAGATTATGGTTTTTTTCTATTAAATTAATTACATATGAATAGGAAATTGATGAATACAGTTTTTTAAAAAAGAAAGTTCAGAAGAATATGGAATTAAAAGTTTCCTTCCTATACCCCTGTCTCCCAGTCATCTTATAATTTTTTCCCCCTGAGTCAGTCCTGGTTACAGTTTCCTCTGAATTTTTCCAGAATTAGTCTAGTCCAACAGGTATGAAAGTATGTATACATCATATGTATATATAGAGATTTTTCTTACACAAGGGGCAACTTGTTAAATACACTCTGTATCTTGCCTTCTTTTCCCCACCCTCCCAAAAGAGTCCTTGGAGATTGTTCCCTCTTGGTATAGACTGTACTTCCTCATTCTTTGTAGCAGCTGAGTAACATAGTCTATTATATGAATGTACTATAATTTATTTAACTAGTACCCAATTCATGAATGTTCAGTTGCTTCAAAGTTTTTGCTACAGATACAATATCTTAATTGTCTTTGTAAACCCAATGCCTTTCTTGGTATCTGGCATAGAGTAAGTGCTCAAAAGTGTTGTTTAACAAAAGAATAAGAGAGGACTGGGGGTGCTGGGGTTGTATCTCAGTGGTAGAGTGCTTACCTAGCATGTGTGAGACACTGGGTTCAATCCTCAGCACCACATAAAAATAAGTACATAAAATAAAGGTATTGTGTCCATCTACAACTAATTTATATATATACGTGTATGTGTGTGTGTGTGTGTGTGTGTGTGTGTGTGTATATATATGTATGTATGTGGCTCAGTGGCAGAACACTTGCCTAGCATGTATAAGGCCCTGGGTTTAATCCCCAGCAACACACACACACACACACACATACGTGTGCGTGCCCGTGCACGAGAGAGAGAGAGAGAGAGAGAGAGAGAGAGAGAGAAGCAGAGGGAGATTTTACATGCACACAGAAAGGAAAAGATCACGTGAAGATGCAGGAAGATATTATTGTGATGAAGTCTTAAAGTCAAGAAAAGAAGAACTCCCAGCTGCTACCAGAAGCTGAAAGAGGCAAGAATTAAGTTCTCCCCTATAGCCTCTGGAGGGAGTAAAGCCCAGTCAACATCTTGATTGTAGCCAAGTGATATTGATTTTGGACTTTTGGATTCCAGGACTATGAGAGAATACTTTTCTGTTATTTTAAGCCATGCAGATTGTGATAATCATTTATAGCAGTCATAGGAAACCAATGTAGACTTTGGTACCAGGAAGTGGGGTGCTGTTGTAACAGATACCAAAAATGTGCAAATAATTTTGGAATTGAACAATGAGAGACTAAAAGAATTTTGAGGAACACAGTAAGAAAAGCCTTGATTACCTTGAACAGGAATTTGGTAGAAATAAAAGTCTTCATTAAAGACTTGATCCAGGGAGGGTGGAAGAGGCCCTTTACAGAAAACCAGTATCAGCTCAGAAAATGCATATGTAGGTGCTGGGCTATATATAGTTCAGTGGTGGAGTGCTTGCCTAGCAAGTGTGAGGAACTGGGTTGAATCTTCAGTACCACATACAAAAAAAAACAAATTAAATAAAAGGTATTATGTCCATTTACAACTAAAAATACTTTAAAATTTCATAAGAAAAAGAAAATGCATATATAATCATAAGCAAAATACTGGTATAGGAAAATGAATATTAACAGTACTATTCTGGCATAAGCTCAGAAGGAAATGTAAAGCATGGTTTTAGAAACTGGAGGAAAACAGATCATAGATAGATATACAGAGTAGCAGAGAATCGAGATGAACTGTCCAACAGTTATATGGAAAGCAGAACTTGTAAGTGGTAACTTGAACATTTAGCTGAGATTTCTGAGTAAAGCATTGAAGGTACAACCTGGTTTCTTCTTAAGGCTTATAGTAAAGCGTGAGAAAAAAAAAGATAAATTGAGGAAAGAACTGTTAGGCAAAATGAAATAAGCACTTGGTGATTTGGGAAATTATGACTATCTAGATTGGAAAAAATGATAACATCTGGAGATTAACTGTAAGAAAGTATGCTCTAGAGAGGCCAACGGTATGACTGGAAAACTTTTTGCTAGTACTAAAGAGGCTAGGTATATGATCCACAGACCCATTCAACCATGTCAGCAGAAGCCAATACTATAGATGGGATTATGGAAAGATCTGCAGAGGATCCTCTTGTCCATTGTGTATATTCTTCAAATACAGTTGGGAGATTCACAAGTTTTTTTTTAACGCTATGCCAGCAAAAACACTGTACCCTTGGACTGAAAAAGAATGAAATGAAAAACTGCTTAATTCTACAGGAAAGAAACAGGTGAAAACCACTCACCTGAAAATATATGCTACCTTTCAAAAGAAAAGGAAGGATAACACCAAAAGCAGAGCCTCAGGCCAACAGCTAGCAATGAATGGAGACTGACAACTGGCTGTGATATAATAGAGGCAGACTAGCTAGAAGCTTAATGTACAGTCAAGGAGAGTCTGGCTAAAACTACGGTCATCCTGGTAGTCCAGAGGACTGTGTATGCCCAAGTCTGTGTCATCTGAGAGACCAGAGAGCGAACTTCTGAATGAGCAATCTCTGGATGAATGCAGACCAAACTCATGTACTTCCTGAATCGTGAACACAGTCTATAAGCCACACTAAATTCAACAGTAAAAGGTGAAAACTTGACCCGCTGAGCCTAGGCAGGCCCAGAACAGCTCTGCCAACACCCACAGAGCCCACACTGGGTCTAAGCTGCATCTTTGAACACATCACCCAATGCCACTGCCTGGGTCCCCCCTACCCGACTTGACTTGACACTCCATCACTAAAAGCAGCCACCTCCATCTTGGGACACCTTCATGGCCATCTTTAGTTGTGGCAACTCCCAGCTTGGAACATGGGCTGGGCAGGTATCCATAGTCCCCATCTCCCCCCTCTCCCTGGCAGCCAGCCACTACCCCACCCAGTGACTTCCCAATACAAAACAGCTCTCAAAGACAGGTTTGCAGCCCCTAGAGAGCAACCCACAAGACCTCCTGAGAAAAAGGTCTCCAACCAGGAAGTAGAAAGAGAGAGGGTGAATGAGACACAGTTTAGAGACTAAAGAAACTGTGAGGTCTACAAGCAATATAAGGAGATAAGACCAGGCGACCACATCACACAAGTGGACCCCAAAGGAGATCCTTGGGGTATAGGCTTATTAGGGACCAGCTGGTGCCATATGCCACTTCCAGGGGCCCTGAACCTAAGACCAACCCTCCCACCCTGGAAACCTTCAACATAGTGAGGGTGGAGATACCAGCAAGTAACAGAAAACACCACTTATTGGATGAGAAGGGAAGCAATAAAGATACTGAACTCCAACAAAAACAATCCTTGTTTCTTCCTTCAAGACTCCCCCCACCCCACCTATTTTCCCACCCTCACATTTAACATTTGTGAAACCAAGTACTCTGAATGAATTAGGATACTGAGGACTGGGATGTCTGAATAGTATATTACAGTTGTGTTGTATATATTCTTTTATTTCATATTTTTATATTTTTATTTTCTTAATATTTATGTTTATTTGTTTTATATACTCTTTTGTCTTCCCACTTACTTATTTTCCCAAAATCACTTCCTCTCTCTTCCCCTGATACTAGCCATCTTCTTTAGATTCCTTTTTCACACTTCCTAAGATCTAATAACTCTGTCTCCTCACCTCCTACCCCCTCACCATCTCATTTTACACCTCACCCATGGTTCTTTGTCCACCATCAGAAACTGTAAACTCTTCTGCAAACCTACTGTTTATGTTGTAAAAATTAATTGAACTCAGCATTTCTGTATATTGTGACAAAGCTATAAACATCTTAATAGCAACCATTTGGTTTAAGGTTGTATACTTGTTGTACTGAGATCTGCTAACATTGTTCTTCCCATAAAAGGAGAGGCATTAGAACACTGCAGGGACACTATAAGCCTAAACCATAAAAACCAGTAACGCTGTGGATCCTCAGTGCTAGAAGGAAAGATACACAAACAACATGAAAAAAAAAACAAGGGAAAAAATGCCCACCCCCCCCAAATCAAGATACAACATTATTATAATCCATGGCTAGCACAATAGAAGAAATGAGAGAGAAGGAGTTCAGGATGTACATAATTAAAATGTTCTGTGAATTAAAGGATGGTATAAGAGAACAAGTACAGGCAACAAAAGATCATTTCGATAAAGAGCTACACAAGCAAATACAGAAAGCAAAACATTACTTCAATAAGGAGATGGAGGTTCTGAAAAAAAATGAACAGAAATCCTTGAAATGAAAGAAACAATAAACCAAATTAAAAGCTCACTAGAAAGCAACACCAACAGAT